TATGGTTTTTTTATTTCTTTTAAACCGCTTATCTGCATCTTGAGCAACGACTGCAATAATTCAGAAACTGATAAATAATCCGCACATCTAATCTGACAGCATGATGTAGCGGGGGGGAGAGTCCATGTTCAGCCAACCGCGCCAGAACCTTTTCCATTTAGCGGGGATTAATATTCATTGACTTCAGTTCCCTCCAGATGATTAACATTACTGAGCTAGAAAGATAAGGAAACCAAGATAACAGGATTTTGTTGACAGAATATTAAATCGCAGATGGGTAAAGATGACTAACCCGCTCCATGCCAAGGCTGTTCCTGGATACATTATGAGGAATATCCCTGCATCAGGATAATGCAGATGTGCTCAGAGATCAAATTGACCGCAACGCTTTGCCGAAGGAGCTGCTTTTTTTTCCCCTCACAGAAAAAAGAAAAATAGAAAAATTAACAAACCATTTATGGGTTAGTAAGCACGTGGGAAAGCAGCTTAATCAACGGCGTTGAGGTGCAACAGACTGGCCGACGATGGGACGGCTTTTTGAGTGGGGGCCGGTATCGATGTCAGAAAACAACTTCAAAGTCAAGTTAATGGTGTCACAGCAGGAAAAGTCCGTAAGATTTATCCTTATTAGAAATATGACAACTAATTGTGACAACAAAAAAAGCTTTTTTTCATTTTAAACCCAAGTCATTCATCCATGGTGGTTTATTTAGAAACCAGAGTAAGTAAAGCAAAGTAAAGCTTTGACGAACAAGATAACCTCCTCTAAAAAGTCTGGATCACAAATCACAAATATCAACATTCCACACTGATAGATGGGGGCATGGTTGCATGCGTGGGAAAGCGTCTCCATAACGTAGCAGCCTTGACTCGAGACTGGCGATGAGGAGGGAAGACCTCTTCTCATGCGAAGGCACATTCCTACCATAACGAAGGTGAAACAGGCCGGGGATATCTATAGCAAACAGCGTGGAGGGAGCGTGGGGGTCGCGGCCTGGTGGAATTTAGGGTCGACTGCCACTCATCCCACCCAAACCAGTTTGAATGGGGTACTTAAATCCACCAATGCTGCCAGTGGACCTCGAAGGGTTACGGATGTCAATCTGACGTCATTTTACTACTCGACCTTTGCTCCATCAGCAAGAGAAAGCAAGAAATTGATTTAAACATTTAAAGCCATTTAAAGGTCACTCTTATTAATGTGCAGGTGCCAATAAATACATCAGCAATCACATTGTGTAAACGATTGTCACTTAAAGAGTTGAATGGGACATCCTCTGCTAAATTAAAATAGGAAAAGCTTCCCCCAAAAGACGCTTGAGAAACAGGAAGGAAACGTTAGATTGAGCGTTAGACCCCTCCCCCAAGATGGCCAGAAGTGCAATTGATTAAGAATACGTTCAATGCGGTCACACAACAAAAAATGATGCAAATATTGATGGGAGGCTGAATAATAATTACCACTAGTAATAACAGCAGCAGCAGAGGCTTTACAGTGGACCGTGATGGGAACTCCTGCAGCTGCTGGTTTACACAGTCCACTTAGTGGGCCTGTGGGGACAGACTCTGGGATTGAGAAAGAGAGGCAGAGCAGGAGTATGATGGGAACACATGTTTCCGACAAACACTCGTTTATTGATCTCCACTGACAAGGGGCTTCAAGGGCAGTGCATTAACAAAATGCCCATCTTTTTTTCTACTTTTACACTACATTTCCTGGAAGTTAGATACTTTCTATGGTCTAATTGATTCAGAACTTATCAATGAGGTCCTAATGGGAAAAACACCACATTGTTTACGGTCGGAGCAAGATAGCAAAGGGCACTTTATGTGAGTGCTGGTGAAGCAGCAGGCACATCCGCATCCATTTATCAAGGACAATCACAGCGGGGAAATGAAGCAATCAATAAGCAGAGTAACTTAAAGATCCCCCATGAGTCAACAATATGTAATCTTGATGGATCTATACATGAATACTGCCAGTCAATGCACACAGAGACTCAGAGTGGTCGGAAACTCCACAAGGACCTTGACGCCACATTTTGACTGTAGAAAAGCCTCGGCCATTTAAACAGAGCATATACCGTCCGGTAAATCCATGTTTACATGGATTACAGTCTTCATTCTATGCAGTGATAACACTAGAATTTGGCATTTGTGGACGCATCTTCTAGTATCCCAGGGTTTCACATACCATTATAACAGAAAGCTGGAAAACTACCCCCCCCTCCCCGTCGGCCGAACTGTTAATAGCAAGGGCCAGAAGCCGGGAGACATTTATTTCTTTTGAAAAAAAGTCTTCCTTGCGTATTAATCCTTAGCTGGAGGATTCTCCCTTAGAAGACATCGCTCTACTAAAACGTCAAAAAATACGCCACACATGTGCTTTTAACTGTAATACCGCTCAGACTTCACCACTGCTGCTATCGTATTCACAGATAATTATTACCCAGGAGACCCCCCCCCATCTCCAAACGCTCTAATTAAGCTCCACAGAGGAAATCGAGAAGAGTGGATGCAACATTCCTGCGTCCTCTTGAACACATAGAAGCTAATGACCTCGCTATCCGTGAATCAGCAGTTGGAGGATAATTACACCAAAAACAACCCACTCAGATCATCTCGCCCTGAAGATCCTCTTAGAGACGTGATGGCGAACTCACAAGTCCCGTTACACTCGAGCCGTTATAGACTCCGTTGAACTACAACTGTGGGATTTTCGCTGTGGCTCTAGTTAGGCCTCAGTGCACGTGATGCGACCAGATTAACTGGGTCACAGAAACCAGGGCACCCTGCTTTACTATTTAGTTTGAAGTATTTGCATTGATACAATTGCGTGCTGTATGCTCCTTTGTACCAAAAACAAACCAGTCGAGATGTCGTGCAGCAACACGAGCACGGTATGTTTGCAAGACACAACAGCAAATTAATCGTGCCAGGGGGGAGGAGGAGAGAAAAAAGGAATGAGAAGTATGTTTTGTCAGTGTGAAATAGACCAGCGATGACATTAAATACAAAGGGACTTACTGGCAAAACACAACGGAGCCGGCACAGCCATCAAAGTCGATGTGGTAACTTCCAAATCGGAACAAAAACCAAAACGTGGCCTGAAATAGCTGCCGAGCTTTGTTTTAAAATACCTCGGTGAACCGGTGAAGTCAAAAGGAGTGAAATCATTTCCCTGCATGAGAGGGATGAGCGTATCCTAAAAAGAGTAAGCTATGTAATAACATGCCCCCTCAAGTCGTTTCCACAAGTCCCGACTATTCATCCAGTCTCCCCCTGGCTGCAAATGCAACACACAGCTGACAGTTTGCAGAGCTTCCCCACAACTTGTGTCGTGCGCTACCATTGGCTGAGGCTTCCGGGAGACTCCCCGAAAGGTCCAGATATTTATCATGCCAGCTCTGTGGAATGCATCAGCCTGCCTCTCGGAGATCGTCTCTGAACAGAAAACGGTTCACAGGGAGTCCTCGGTTGCATGTCGCTTCGACATGTCGGTTGCAACCGACATGGCAGTGTAAATTTTGGCAGCTATTTTTTATTTAGTCTTGGTCTTAAGACGAAAATGCATATTAGTTTTAGTCACATTTAGTCATTTTAATCCTTTTTAGTTTGAGTCACATTTAGTCATTTTAATCCTTTTTAGTTTTAGTCACAATAGCCATATTAATTACTCGTCACTTTGTTACTTGTCTGTTACTTGTTCGTTAGTGCACTTTATGCTTAATATTTTTCTTTTTAACTTTTTTAATATTTAAAATTTGTAACTTTATTCCCTTGTTTTATACTAACCCATAGCCTTATTCTACTAACCCATTGCATTAGCATTTCATTTTACTTTATTTTATTACTTTGCACTGTTGTCTTGTCTGTCTACTGTCGCACACCAACCGCCAAGACAAATTCCTTGTATGTTTGGCATATTTTGGCTAATAAATGTTTCCTGATTCCTGAAACTCCTTTTCTTCCCTTCTCAGGCCCAGGGACCTAGCTTGCAGTACTTGGTTGTCCATTGACGTCCCTCCTATAGGACAGGCCTATAGACGTCCCTCCTATAGGACAGGCCTATAGATGTCCCTCCTACAGGACAGGCCTATAGATGTCCCTCCTATAGGACAGGTCTATAGGGTCGGCAAACGTTTTGACTCGCGGGTCTCAGTGGGTTGTAAAATGTGACGGAGGCCAACAATAAATGGTTGAAGTGTTTGTGTGAGCTGATATAAATGATGTGTGAAACATCATCACATGAGCTGTTGTCTGTCAGCTGAGTTCGAATTTAGGGGGAAAAAAGTGTCGTGACTTTGTCAACCTCCAACATGTTCGTCTCGTCTCGTTAACGAAAGTTAGAATAGATTTAGTCAGTTTTTATTTTAAGATCGTTTTCGTCTCGGAAAAAAAGTCGTTAGGGAACATTTTTCGTCATAGTTTTCGTCGACGAAATTAACACTGCGACACGGGGCTTTTGTTTAAGAGCCCCAAAAACTAGGATGGTGTAGTGTGAAGGCGCCTGAGTACTGTTACAGATGTTAACAGGATGAGGTCGCTGCTTTGTAGTCGTTCCATGTGGCAGACATGAGTAGCGATACTTACAGAACCAAGCAGCATGGGCAGAAGTCTGACACACGAGTACTTCAAATATCATGTGAACCACGTTACAGTTATTAACACAACCAATCCAGCCCGTCTGTAATGATGAAGAATGTGCAGCGTTTGCCTTGTTGTGGGGATGTTGTAGGTGGTTGTGTACTCACGCTCTACTTTATTTGTTCAAACCAACATTACTCATGTCCCGTTGGCCTTTACAAGCCAACAACACCAACGGTCCCCGACCCAGCCCAAGCTCTTAAAGAAGCGCATCCATTCATAGAAAACACCGGTGTCATTCTTTGATGTGCAGTCAGATCTTTCTGCAATATACAAAACGCTTTTTGATGTGATTAACTGCGGAGCCTTACAGGCGATGACGACAGGAAACAGGATGGTTTTGCTCCGCTTACCTGCCGGGCTACGCAGCGCCGTTGTGTCGAGTGCCGCTGGCCTGAAAGCACCAGAACCTGCTGAGGGTTCAAAGCCACGGGGCAACTGGAGGCCACGGCCAACTCTCCTGCAGACAAGAGAGGCAAGAGGCGAGAGGGCAGACATCAGCTTAATGTCACCACCAAGTGCTCCTGGCGGGCTCACACTCTAATGTGAGGCTAATTCAAAATGAGTGATACTTATGACTGTATTCTACGGCTGGAGAAAGCAACAGAGACGCTGGTGGGTGTTAGCGGCACAGAGATGGAGGAGCGGTAGACCCAAAAAGAAAGCTGCTCAATCATCTCAATTAAAACCAAACTAGGCTGTAAAGCGCCGCTGCCTGCTGGCACCGGTTTGCTCCATGCAAAGGGTGTGCCAGGCACACAGGAATACATATAAATATAAAAGTTTAGGTTGTTTTTCTCTGAGGACGGGCCTGGAAACACTGCTCCGAGGTGATCATCGCCCAGTCAAAGAAGCCAATGACAACAACCTAACAAACCTAAGTCACGATTCTCGTTAAAAACCATGACTCAGCAGGAATAACACATGAACCACTCCCTCGCCATAAATCCACCCCGACAGGCATGGCATTCTGGTTTCGCTGCAGTTTTTGGGGGCAGCAAAGCAAGCTATATAAGGAATTGTTTGCGTGAAGCCCAGCTAGTGGTTCTAAAATATTAGAGCCAAGGGTTTTAGAGGTATTAAGTCAGTTTACACTGAAATCCTTTTAAGAGGGTCCACTTGCTTAACGTGACTCTGGCTTTAAAGTCAAATCCAACACTAATATTGGCTGCCAGTTGGCGGAGGGTGTGGGGAGGAGGGCGCAGTGTACTCGTGTGAACACATCAGGTGTCAAGCAGAGGTTTTTGTGAATTTTGTGAAAAATCTTTGGAAACATGGGGCCCAAACAAGCCATAACCAGGTCAGAACCAGTACCATAATATTGATATATTTTTTCAACAGCAACATATACACTGATTGTTACACATTATAGCAGCAGTCCCCCTTTAACCCCACAAACATAAATTGTACAAAGTACTTCTACAGTACAAAGTAACAAGTTGGCACAGGTATACAAAAAGAAAGTGTAATAATTAGCTGGAGAATCAGGGCATTTGTCTGGGCTTACCTTTGCTCCAGGTTTTAGCCACAGCCACTTCCTTCCTCGGGCTCCAATTTGCAGTGCAATACAGTATTTCCACGTTGGCAGATAGCCAAGGAGCTCCATATGTCTGCCTTTATGACTGTTAAGCAACCCTAATCAGAGCTGATACAGAGCACACCAGCTTACTGCTACTGTGATGCCATCCGTTTTATTGCAGCCCAACACTGCTCCTGCAGTTTGCACCCACTCGCTGAGCTGCGCCTGTGCTGTAATGCCTCCGCGGGCACTCTTGTTTTACAGGTTGCTGCTATGATGCCACAGTGAACAAGTTTTATGATCAGTTTAGGAAACGATCCCTCTGAGACCAGAACCAAGAGTTTTTAGGCAACCTGCTAGGATACTGTAGTTGACAGTACACGAGAGGTTAGGCCGTGAGCCATGACATGGAGCTTTGATCCTCGCCTCAGGCTAAGACTAAGAATGCCAAGGACAACCAAACCTGAATCAAAGGCTTTGCATGGTTCTAGCCCTCAAACCATATATGTCATAATTTTGCAGGCTCTTGGCGGGTTTATAAAGCAGCAGAAAAATGTGGCTCAAAGAAAATTTGTTTTAAACTAAAGGAAATAACTGTCAGAAAGATACAGGAAGAGGCATTTACCTCCAATTCTAATCAACTTGTTTTATTTTGTACCATTTTATGCAAATAAGTATCTTTTCCGACAACAAATGACACTGATGGATGGGAGCAGCACTCCGAACCAACAACATTTGGGTATCTGCGTCAAATGCACAGATGTTTCCTGTGCCTGGATTGGCTGTGTGTGCAGACTAAGTGGGCTGGGAGGCCGACTGCTTGCAGCAGACCACGGAGCATGTCTTCAGACCAAGACACTACTCCCAAAGCAGCAACAACCCAAAGTTGACCATGACCTTTGGAAAATAACCATTCAAGCCAAAAGACAATACAGACGAGTGGAGGAGTGATGCAGTCAGCAACAAACTCACACTACAGGCAAGTAGGGACAATAATGGAGAGAATCTCCCTCTTCAACTTTACAATCACCGTGTATTATGTTCTTTTAGCCACTCATTGCATTGATCTCTATATCATTATATTATTGTAGCAAACCCTGAAACGAAGGGGGGGGGCAATATGAGCTAAAGCTTTCTTAATTGTAAGAAATACTGACATGGGTAAGAAAATGCAAAAATACTATGCTTTATATTTTTAATGCATCTAATCCAGACGTGAGTATAAAAGAAGCAGGTACCATCTATTTTATTTAGACTATTCTTTTATTGAATTAGAAAACATGCTATATTACATTACTAGTCATTAGCTGACGCTTTTATCCAAAGCAACTTACCTGCCACTTTGGTTTTTGCTGTAGAGGCATTAAAATAGAAAAGAAATAACATTCATTCCTGCTTATACAGTTCATTAAATAATTATTTAACAGATGTTAACAGTTTTGAACAAAATCATTTACTGTCCCTCCCCCCCCCCCTCAAAAAAGAGCTGCCATTGTGACCATCCTAATAAAAAGCACATCAAAATGACTTTGAGCAAACCCTTGGAACGTTTTGGATCCCTTTTTTTTTACACTTCATAACAACTTAACCTGTTCCACATTCACAATGGCACATGAAACCAAAATGGCGACCCAAAGCAAGGACATTTCACAAAGCAGCAAATAGAATCTCTTGAGTGCTCCTTCCACCCCAGAAGACCACCCTGCCAATCCAGAAACAAACAAAGAAAAGGATTTCTTCTGATCGGACTCCCCATCATGTGTCGGTGGAGGGGCTTTGCTCCAGCACTCGCCCAGAGGGCTGATGTACTGGCATAAGGGATGAACATGCGAGCCAGAATAAATACACACTTGTATGTATGTGTGTGTGTGTGTGTGTGTGCATTCACATTTTGACTGAAACTCCTCCTTGATGCGACAGTGCCGAAGAAGAACCCGATCCCTACGTTTCCCTTTGAACTTGCACCACACCGTCCCAGCCTCGAGTCCACACATACGAAATTAACGGCGCACTGTGATGTGCTGGGGTCTTTGCTGGCCTCCTGCTCATTGGTCAGTTTGTGCACAGCCTCTGTTCCTGTCAGTCAACGATCCCCTGGATCGCAGCACCTCCACCTCCTCCTCGAATGGCCCATACCTATCGGCTCACTGACAATATCTGGGCAAAAAAGCCAACAGCTATTGCAATCACACACTCGCACGCACAAGTTTCACAAGCAAGCAGTTAGCCTGAACGCCAAATTTACAAACTAATGTCTGAAAGAGGACGGGGGCTCCTTCCCTCTTTCACACCATTCTCAGACGGACGCGTCACGTTCTCATTCCAGACCTAAGACCGCCTAGAGGAACCCGATATAGCTATGGCCCCTGCGTGCAGGCAGGGGGTTTCAAGCAATGGGAGTGTTTGATTTTCTTGCCATGTTGCTCTTTGCGTGATCCAGATTACATCACACAACAGACTACAAACGCTTACACAACCGGGGAGTGATGCAGTTACTGATATTTGGCATGCACGAATATAATGAGATCTCAGTAGAGCTGGACGGTATATCCATAGATATGTATACCGATTCAAACGGTTCGGTATGAATTTCTCACGTAGTGTTCATACCGGTGTTACGCGTAAATCGAGGAGCGGTCGGAGCTACTTGTCTTACGTGTGTTGAGATTAAGTCATGGTTATAACAACAATGAATAACCCGTAACAAACACTCTTTAACAGGGTCAAACACAACAGCTTGTGACACAAACTATTTGTAACACTAATAACTGCAGAGCTCTTAACTTGGAAAAAACATGGAGTGAGATTTTGTCGGGGGTGACCATACGGCCGAAGGGATGGTGGGTGGATGATACGGTCAACGGGGAGGTTGAAGAGGAACCGTTTTTGCGAGAGAAATTGGATGTGTGGCAGGAGTGCGTGACTAAAGACCGAAATGTGCTCAATGTACAATATAATTACATTTTTATAAAGAACATTTATAAAAATGACTCCGCCAAACTGCATGCTGGGTAAAGCTCACAACAAGAAGTTGCTCTGATGCTACATGGAAACACGGAAAAGAGCGACACAGGAGGAACAACGAGAGACCAGAGATGCAACTCAACTTGTGTCCAAGGAAGGAGCGGTGTCTTTTGGATGGTTTTGGAAAATCCGACGCAAGTTAACTTGGATCAGAAAACGATTTATCGCAAAGTCTGTCGAGCCTCTGGTGATAACACTAGCAGCCACAACAAGCTAACGCGCTAACGAGCTAACACACCTGCCAGTTACAAGCAAGTGGCCAGCAAACGGCGATCAGCTGATTGGGTAGCTGGCAGTACTTTTTGGGCTCAATGAATTAATGTGTTCACTTGAAAAAGCAATACGATCAGAATCTTTCTAAATACCGTGATATGGACGTGTTTCCCACACAGGCTAATTTTAAGCACACATTGCGTTGGTGTATTTAAAAAAAAATTAACGCTATTTAAATCACGCAACGTATTCATTCAGCTGCATTTCCTTTCCCTGCTCTCCCTCAGTTTGTCACTCACTGATTTTACACACATTTTTGTCTGACAAAGGGTTAACTACTACTAACTATTCATATATATTTTAATATCTGCCTCAAGTTATCTCTGGACACGTGAATAAAGAATCAATGCGAACAGACGTTTTGCTTCAGCATTCCTCAGTTGACTGAAAATGTTGCCCTTGCTAAATGAGAATTAAAATTATATATATATATATATATATATATATATATATATATTTATTATATAGTACGATTGGAAATATTCATGAAGGTCGTTTCATAACCAAAAAAACGCCTTCTCTCCTTCTCAGTCTTTAGAAGGTCAGTGGAGCCGATGAAGTGCAGTTTGGGCTGGAAGCCGTACCCAGAGACGTCCTGTCTGCAGTGGGGCCGAGCTGGAGCCCAGTTGCTGGAATGCTTTGTT